GGTGGGGAAGTAGAGGGTAGGGGTGGGGAAGTAGAGGGTAGGGGTGGGGAAGTAGAGGGTAGGGGTGGGGAAGTAGAGGGTAGGCTGTGTGATGAACAAATGAAGAACTTCGAGCGGCCAGAAAAATGACAACAAATGTAAAAAATTGCATTAAAAAAGTATCCTGTTATTTACGGGATTTATTGTTTTTAGAGAAGAATGCCAATATTAGACACGCAGCTAACTTTTTAATTTATTTGAAGTTCCGTTCATGAAGGTGCCTATTATCATCTTTGAATTATTCGCTGAATTGGATTGCTGGAAATAAGATTAAGTTCAGGATATCATCACTTATCGCAAATCAGTTGATTTTGTAATCTACTCATTACCGATTTTGTCCCAATCGGTTAATTTTTCGCTCAAGTTATCTAAGATACTGAAGATTAAAGATACTATATTGTAGACGAACGAATAGCAATTCTAGCGCTATTTATTCTACGTAAATACAATGTATAGTGTAAAAATCTACAAGAACTTGAATCTCTCAGCTAAGTGAGCTAACGATGTGTGTCAATGGAATGAGTGATATATTACTTTATGTATTAATTTTGATGTATTAATTCGTTTGATGTATTAATTCTTTATTGGTTGTCCAGTTTTATCTCAATTATGTTTCCCTAACTTAAACTATAGCGCACAAATTCATTTGTTTGAATTATTAACCGTAAATGTTGATTATGTTGTAAAATGTGTTGGAAATTTAAGCTCTGACGAAAATTTTGCTTCTTACGCGGTTTGGAGATGCGCTCCATGTTTGACTCCAAGCTGGAGCTGCGCTCCATGTTTGACTCCAAGCTGGAGATGCGCTCCATGGTTGACTCCAAGCTGGAGATGCACTCCATGTTTGACTCCAAGCTGGAGATGCTCTCCATGTTTGACTCCAAGCTGGAGATGCGCTCCATGGTTGACTCCAAGCTGGAGATGCACTCCAGAAATTCTCGTATGGCACTAGAGGGTAACAGTGAAGGGATGAAATAGGAGAGGGTAACGTGGGAAAGGGTTCGAAGGAAGTCTCGGAAAAGGAGAAAGGGTTCGAGTGAAAAGTCGTGAAAAGAGAAAGGGTTAGAGGTTAACTTTGAGTTTGGGGGAAGAGTTAGAGGGTAACTTAGTTGGGGATTGAGTTAGAGGGTAAGAAGGGCTGGAGGGTAACTTAGAGTGGGGAAGAAAGGATGGAAGGTAACTTAGAGTGGGGAAGAAGGGCTGGAGGTAACTTAGAGTGGGGAAGAAAGGATGGAAGGTAACTTAGAGTGGGGAAGAAGGGCTGGAGGTAACTTAGAGTGGGGAAGAAGTGAGGGTAACTTAAAGTAAAAAAAGGGCTGGAGGGTAACTTAGAGTGGGCAGAAGGGCTGGATGGTAACTTAGAGTTAGAAGAAGGGCTGGAGGGTAACTTGGAGTGGGCAGAAGGGCTGGAGGGTAACTTGGAGTGGGAAGAAGGGCTGGAGGGTAACTTGGAGTGGGAAGAAGGGCTGGAGGGTAACTTGGAGTGGGAAGAAGGGCTGTAGGGTAACTATGGGAGCCAGAGAGAGGGTAGAGTTACGGAGAAGAAAGGAAAGGCTTGAGGGAGAGAGGGAATGGGATATAAGTTGAAGTTGAGGGAAGGGAGGGTAAGTTGGTTTTGAAATACTGAGGGAAAAGAAACATTTATATAGTTTCGTTAAAAGTGATAGGATGAGCAAGATAGGTAGGTGGGTAGGTGAAAAGAATATTGAGATGAATGACATGGGTTAGAAGAAAACTGAGCTAAGGATTAGAGTTAAAGAAGCGTGAAACAAAATTTAGAAGCAAACAAAACGCCCCGAAAATTTGCCATACCTAATGAAAACGAAGTATGTAGTATTTAGGAAATAAAGTTGAGGATGGGAGGTGTTGAAGTAACACTGATGATAAGAAAATGGGCTAGAGGGTAAACTTCAAAGAAGCGAAAAGAATTAAAGTATTAACATGATAAAGAAGGGAAAGTGGAAGAGTAATGTTAAGGTGGAGAGAGAATTAGAGGGTTATGTGAGGGAGGAAACCTCCTCTGAGGGTAATGAGACAGAGGGAAGTGAGTTAGAAGGTAATGTGAGGGCTGGCACGAGGTACAGGGAGGTATAAATAATCTAGCTGGAGGGCACAGCCGAGGAGGGAATGAGGGTAGAGGGAGGGGGAGGGTACGAGGGTAGAGGGAGGGGCAGGGTACGAGGGTAGAGGGAGGGGCAGGGTACGAGGGTAGGGTGAAGGGGTAGAGTGAGGGAGGGTACGAGGAAGGAGGTAGAGTGAGGGGGGTGGTACGAGGGTAGAGTGAGGGAGAGAGTACGATGGTAGAGGGAGGGGCAGGGTACGAGGGTAGAGGGAGGGGCAGGGTACGAGGGTAGGGTGAAGGGGTAGAGTGAGGGGAAGGATACGAGGGTAGGGTGAAGGGGTAGAGTGAGTGATGGTAAGAGGAAGGAGGTAGAGTGAGGGGGGTGGTACGAGGGTAGAGTGAGGGAGAGAGTACGAGGGTAAAGTGAGGGGGAGGGTAGGGTGAGGGGTGTGAGGGTAGGGTGAGGGTTGCTGCACACATGTGAGGGGCGGCCAGGAAGAGAAGACGTGCCTCTGTTTGTTTGTTCCCTCGGCTACCCTCGCCTTACAGTCGCTGCCACAAACTCTGTACACTGTACTGCTGTGCAACTGTGCACTGTACAGTCACAATTACAACTCCGTCTCTGTACACTGAACTTGTGTACAGTGTACAGTTGGCTAGCAGCCCATTAGTTTATTTCAAAGGGTACAGTAGTAAGAGATGCTGGGAGCACATTTACAGTTACAGGAAGCACAGTTACAGTTGCAGGAAGCACAGTTACAGTTACAGGAAGCACAGTTACAGTTACGGGAAGCACAGTTACAGTTACAGAAAGCACAGTTACAGTTACAGGAAGCACAGTTACAGTTACAGGAAACACAGTTACAGTTACAGGAAGCAAAGTTACAGTTCCCCGAAGTGTTAGTATAGCTACAGCTACTGCAAGCGCTAATACAAAAGATATACAAAGTTTAACTGTAGGTCGTGTAAGTACAGTTAATTACATTGTACTGGAATGTATATGTGGTGGTGAATGTGGAGTTTACCCTCAACGTTGTGGTATGAGTCTATAACTCTGCAATATTTATGTTGTACTGAAATGAATGTATGATTTTGGTATGTGTGTATCTGCGGTATGCGTGTATGGTTCTCGAATGTTTACGTCGTTTTGGAATGAGTGAACGGTTCTGGAATGCACGTTTGGTTGTGAAATATGTTTATAGTTATGGTACTGCGTATATAGTTGTATGAGTGTATGACTGTATACTGCGTGTATAGCTGTGGCATGAGTGTATGACTGTATACTGCGTGTATAGCTGTGGCATGAGTGTATGACTGTATACTGCGTGTATAGCTGTGGTATGAGTGTATGACTGTATACTGCATGTATAGCTGTGGCATGCGTACAGTGTAGGAATGCTACCCATGTTGTGCAATGGTATGAAGCATGCGGGCAGCCCTCACTCCACATGCGGGTAGCCAGTTACCACCACTCATGACCCCGCGTATCAGTGATACGGTCGTCGTAGGGGCTGAGCTGTCGTAAGTCGTAACGAGTGCGTAACTCCGTCGGCCAATCACTGACGACTTCTCAAGCCAGGTCCATGCACCAATCACAGACGAGAAATCGGCCGTTACGTGCATTTGGGCCGCTACGTGTATTTGGGCCGCTACGTGTATTTGGGCCGCTACGTGTATTTGGGCCGCTACGTGTACTTGGGCCGCTACGTGTACTTGGGCCGCTACGTGTACTTGGACTGCTACGTGTACTTGGGCCGCTACGTGTACTTGGGCCGCTACGTGTACTTGGGCCGCTGCGTGTACTTGGTCCGCTACGTGTACTTGGGCCGCTACGTGTACTTGGGCCGCTACGTGTACTTGGGCCGCTACGTGTATTTGGTACCGTACGGGATATAAACTGCACTACAGCTTGTTATGCACAAGTTGTTTTTTATCAACGAAGTTTGTTTAATAACCAAAAAAACTTTTATTATGAATATCCTTATAAACTTTTTTTTCGGGTGATTTAACGAATGAGGTTATACTAATTTGAAGCTGAGGGAAGGTGTATTCAGCAACAAGTCGTTTCTATCAACATTTTCCACTATCATATAAAATGAAAATTTTTGTGATTTCAAAATGACAAAAGAACAAGCGGCTGGCATTAGGGATGTAAATAAAAAATTTATACTAAAATTACTCTTGAAAATTATTTACGAGTTTGGATGAATGCAGAGGTTTGTAAATTGATAGCTGGAGATGATGCTGGTGCAGGCGTGGGGCGTGTGGGGAAGATGGGGAAGATGATGGGGAAGCCTGCGTGTCTTGCGAGTGACTCACGACATGGGGAAGTGGCGGCCATCTTGGATGCTCATTCTATTGCTGCTCACGGCGTGATGAGCGTGACTCTTGCTGCTCACGCGTGATGAGCGTGACTCTTGCTGCTCACGGCGTAACTCTTGCTGCTCACGGCGTTACTCTTGCTGCTCACGCGTGATGAGCGTGACTCTTGCTGCTCACGGCGTAACTCTTGCTGCTCACGGCGTTACTCCTGTCTCTTATACACATCTAGATGTGTATAAGAGACAGCTGTAAAATAGTCCTCGCTCAATTTCCTTCCCTCAAATATTTAAACTAAAACAATTAATAAAAATGGGCATTGCCATCGAATTATTTGATAGCACGACTGAATCCCTCAACGTATAAAATTATTTTATCGTAATTCAATCNGCGTAAATCTTGCTGCTCACGGCGTAACTCTTGCTGCTCACGGCGTAACTCTTGCTGCTCACGGTGTAACTCTTGCTGCTCATAAACTCAGACGCTGTCGAATTTTCAAATATCAACAAATATATTTCTTCATTCTATTCGTATCTACATTTCTATTAATTGCATTCGTATCTACATTGTCCTCTTTATCCGTCTCCACTTTATCCGTATTCTTATCTTCGTCAAATTCTTACTGTCCAGTCCATTGGTATTTATTCTATTCGTATTTCCTCGTTTATTTTATTCGTATTTCCTCGTTTATTTTATTCGTATTTCCGTGTTTATTTTATTCGTATTTCCTCGTTTATTTTATTCGTATTTCCGTGTTTATTTTATTCGTATTTCCGCATTTATCTTATTCGTATTTCCTCGTTTATTTTATTCGTATTTCCGTGTTTATTTTATTCGTATTTCCGTTTTTATTTTATTCGTATTTCCTCGTTTATTTTATTCGTATTTCCGTTTTTATTTTATTCGTATTTCCTTGTTTATTTTATTCGGATTTCCGCATTTATTTCATCTTGTCCGCATTTATTTCATCTTGTCCGCATTTATTTTATCTTGTCCGCATTTATTTCATCTTGTCCGCATTTATTTCATCTTGTCCGCATTTTCAGGGCTGGGCGGAGGAGGCGACCGGGGCAGAGGGGCGCCGCTGGCATCAGGCATGGCGTCTGAACAACAGCAGCAGCAACAGCATCAACAGCAGCAGCATCAACAGCAACAGCAGCATCAACAACATCAGCAAAATGTACCGAGTCAAACAAATCAACACGTGCTGTCGAGGAGTTCTCCACAGCAACAGATTCAACAAGGTTCCTCAGCACTACCTCAGCAGATAGACCTGTTATCCCGCAGCAACAGCAGCAGCAACAACACAGCACCTGCTGCTGTGGACAGACAACAGCAGCATTTGTCTGTTAGTGCTGGTGCAACAGCAGCACAAACAACAGCACCACCTATCGTGCTAGAACAGCAGCAACAGCAACAACAGTTTTGTCTGAAATGGAACAATTTTCAGTCCAATATCGTGACGTCTTTCGAGAGCCTCCTGAACAAGGAGGAGCTGGTCGACGTTACCCTCACTGCCGAGGGCAAGAGTCTGAGGGCACACAGGGTGTTGCTCAGCGCCTGCAGCCCTTATTTCAGCGACCTATTCAAGGTGAGCCCTTAGTGAACGGTCGCTTCAAGGTCCCCTTAGATTTTTTATCCCCTTCCCCTTTATTAAGGGTTACTTTTTATTAAGGGCAAATTTTTTATTGTGGGTTTATTTTTTATTAAGGGTTAATTTTTTATTAGGGGTTAATTTTTTATTAGGATTAATTTTTTATTAGGGTTAATTTTTTATTAAGGGTTAATTTTTTATTAACGTTAAGTTTTTATTAAAAGTTAATTTTTTATTTAGGGTTAATTTGCCTCATTACTTACCTTCACACCCTCACCCCTAACTCCCTCAATCCCTCAGGACCTCCCCTCACCCCTCCCTCCCTCAGGACCTACCCTCACCCCTCCCTCCTTCCCTCAGGACCTACCCTCACACCAGCACCCCTCACCCCTCCCTCCTTCCCTCAGGACCTACCCTCACACCAGCACCCGGTCATCGTGCTGAGGGACACCAGGTTCCTGGAGCTCAAGTGTTACCCTCACACCTCCCTCTTTCCCTCAGGACCTACCCTCACACCAGCACCCCTCACCCCTCCCTCCTTCCCTCAGGACCTACCCTCACACCAGCACCCGGTGATCGTGCTGAGGGACACCAGGTTCCTGGAGCTCAAGTGTTACCCTCACCCCTCCCTCCTTCCCTCAGGACCTACCCTCACACCAGCACCCCCCTCCCTCCTTCCCTCAGGACCTACCCTCACACCAGCACCCGGTGATCGTGCTGAGGGACACCAGGTTCCTGGAGCTCAAGTGTTACCCTCACCCCTCCCTCCTTCCCTCAGGACCTACCCTCACACCAGCACCCGGTCATCGTGCTGAGGGACACCAGGTTCCTGGAGCTCAAGTGTTTGCTGTGCTTCATCTACCACGGCGAGGTGAACGTGTCGCAGGACAACCTCTCGTGCCTCCTCAACCTCGCAGAGAACCTTAAAGTCAAAGGCCTCGCGCAAGAGGCGCCAAAGAGGCACAACTCCAAAGACTATGAGGTGAGGCGTGGTGCTAACTTGGTGTAAAGACTGGGGGGCTGGTGGTGTTGCAAAGGCTGGGTGGTGTTGCAAAGGCTGGGTGGTGGTGTAAAAGCTGGATGGTGGTGCAAAGGCTGGGAGGTTGGTGATGTTGCAAAGGCTGGGTGGTTGGTGGTGGTGCAAAGGCTGGGTGGTGGTGCAAAGGCTGGAAGGTGGTGGTGGTGCAAAAACTGGGAGGTGGTGCAAAGGCTGGGAGGCTGGTGGTGGTGCAAAGGCTGGGTGGTTGTGCAAAGGCTGGGTGGTGGTGCAAAGGCTGGGTGGTGGTGCGAAGGCTGGGTGGTGGTGCAAAGGCAGGGAAGTTAGTTACTGGGATAGGATGCCCATTAAAATATTTATTTTATTGTATTTGTTATACAGTATTATAACTTCTATCGCCTTATCTGCTTTTTGACTTTTGCTAAACATGCTTGATTATAATTACATTATGTTACTATGTTAGGTTAAAGTGAAAATTGTCTAAATTGTCCAAGTTGAATGTTATGTTATGTCTAAATTGAATAATTAGTAGCACTTTCTGTCGTCTAAATTAAATAATTAGCTCTTTCTCTTTTCTAAATTAACTAATAATAACTAGATAAGGAATAGCTTGACTCTCGCGATTCTAAGGGGACTTTTGTTGGCAGTATGGCGGCAAGGGGATGCTCAGCCCCGACCGTGAGGAAGACCTCAGCGACGGTGGGGACACATCCGTCCCCCCCAAGCACCGGGGAGGCCGACTGCTCAGATCTGAGGAATCGAACTCGCCTTCCCCAGCCCCTCTTTCCGGCTTCCCCAACTACTCTGCGCTGGGGAACTTGCTGGGGAACAAACCTGCTGTTGATCCTAGACCTCCTGGGGAGGATATGCCTTCCCCACGAGACCTCCGAGACTTGCATTTGAACAAAAGACCCCCCGGGGTCTTACCTTTGGACCGACACATGTCTTTGCTGCACCAACAACAACAACAACAACAGCAACAGTATTCCCCTCCTTCTAAGAGACGCAAGAGGCATTCATCCCCCAACCAGCACAGCCCCACCCACAATTCCTCATGTCATGTCCCCAACCAGAACTCCAGGGGCTTGACCCACCGCAGTCCATCCCCAGGGCCCAACCCTAACGCCTCATCTGGACCCCACAACTCCACCTCGGGGAGACGAACCCCAACGACCGACGAGAACAACTCCCATGCCGTCAACCTGACCGTTTGCCCCACCTCTTCCCCACCGAGGCTCATGATCCCCAAGGTGGAGTTCGTGGGGTCTGAGGAAGATTCCTCCGGTCCCCCAGACCGGGACCAGCGAGACCGCCTCTGTAGCTTCCTCGACAAAGGGGGACGTTTGGCCGGGATGATGTCGGGGAAGTTCGGGGGAGGAGGACCCATGGGTCCTGACAGTGACCCAGAAGGGGAAGAGGAGCCACCGCCGCCCCACCACGATGAAGACAGTGGGGACATGGACACCCACTCGAGTGGGATGCCACACCCTCTGTCCCACCAGCTCCCCCCGGGGCTGCAGCAGTCGTTCGTCCCCTACCCTCAGACGACCACCCACGTCGCCGCCGCCGTCGCCCACCACATCGCCAGCTCCTTCCCCCCTGGACCCTCAGGTGCGTGGGGAGGCGAGGGGGTAGGGAGGTGGGGTGCCAGGGGAAATGGCATTCCATGGATACATTTTTTTTAGTGAGGGGAGTGTAGCTCGTTCCATCGTCTGTTCAAAAATCATAGAACAAAAATTCAATCAGTTAGTACAGTGAAAAAAAATATGTTAAAACCTAAATTAACGAATAGACAAATAATACAAATCCAATCTATTCACAACTTCAAGTTGCTAAGAGCTAAAGTGTGCAGTAAAACTAGGCCTCTTTTCAAAATATACAGGATTCTAAAATTCATAAACCGGAGCATCAGAAGTGGGAGCTAAAATCTTACACGTCACACGTGTACGACGCTACACCTCTAACACGTCAAACGTCTTACACGTCACACGTCTTACACGTCACACGTCGCAAGACTTATTTGCAGTTCGCACTATTCGGCGTGAGTGTGCACAGCCGCATGAGGGGTGCGCGCTAGTGAGTGGCAAGTCCTACAACTCCTCCCTTTATGTTCCGCCACTCTAGAATAAAAGTTGCGTGACGTCATCCCGACGTACGCAGTTGCGCATCGTCCACAACTGTATTATTGTGACGACCGAATATGAACAGGGAAAATATAGATAGGAAGTATTTTAAAAACGAAAAAATGAATAAGTAGAATATAAATTGGAAGGATTTAAATAACGAAAATATGAATAGGAAGTATTTAAATAACGAGAATATGAATAGGGATAATATGGGTAGAAAGGATTTAATTAACTAGAACATGAAGGGGGAGAATATAAAAAGGCAGGATTTAAGTAACGAGAATAGAATTAGGGAGAATATCTGTACCTAAATAAATAATCAATGCTCAAATGGGATATGAATAGCAAGCATATAAATAGGAATAATATAAATAAGGAGAATATAAATAGGGAGAATATCTACGTATGTAAGTAAATAATCAATAATCAAAGGGGATAGGAATAGGTAGAATATGAATAGGGAGAATATAAATAGCGAGAATATATTAGTAAATAAGTAAATAATAACCAATAATCAAAGGGGATATCAATAGGGAGAATATAAATAGGGCGAATATATTAGTAACTAAGTAAATAATAATCAATACCCTCCCCTCCCCCTCCCCCAGGCGTGGCCTCCTCCGTGAGCCCCGGCGGGTGGCGCAGTCACTCCGGCGACGCCCCGGGCTCTCCTCAGGGTGAGTCCCCGACCCTTGCTTTAGGGGTCCAACCCTCGGATCACAAGGGTCCAACCCTCAGGCCTCCAGGGTTTGAACCCTCAAGTCTCAGGGGTTCAACCCTAAGGTCTCATGGGTTCAACCCTCAGGTCCCAAGGGTTCAACCCTCAGGTCCCAAGGGTTCAACCCTCAGGTCTTATGGGTTCAACCCTCAGGTCTTATGGGTTCAACCCTCAGGTCTTATGGGTTCAACCCTCAGGTCTCATGGGTTCAACCCTCGGGCTTCAGGGATTGAACCCTTTTACTCACGCCTCTACTTCACTATTTTTATTAAAGCGTTTATCACGGTCCTAGATTTTACTATTTAATGGTTAGCACCGATGATGATTACAGTAAATAAATGTAGAAATTAAAACACACACTGAACTATAATTATCAAAACCAAATGTTCTTTATTCGTCGATGCGAACATAAAACTTTAGTCTTTTATTCATAAAATTATCTATTATTATTTTTTATTTCACTGATAATTTGCTTGTATTAACTCCTTGTATTATAATAAATGGTCAAATGAACTCGGTGTAAGTGGAGGCTGTGAGTAAAGTAACCTGTGTACTGTACATTGTGTGCATTGTACACACACTGTGTACTGTACACTTTGTACACGTGGTCACAAACCTCGATGCTCGTAACAAAGCTATTTATTTATCGAATTATTTTCTCGTTTTCGCGCCTAATTTAGGCTATAACTTCATTATATACAAAAATTTTTGTTAATTTTAAATTTCAATAAAAAATGTTGTCAATTAAATTTCAATAAAAAATTTTGTCAATTAAATTTCAATAAAAAATTTTTTGTCAATTAAATTTCAATAAATAATGTTGTCAATTTTAAATTTCAATGAAAAATGTTGTCAATTAAATTTAAATAAAAAATATTGTTAATTTTACGCATAGCAGAGCATCTATGGTCGGCCGCCCTTGTGACTACCTTATTGAGAATCATGGGCGTCTGATCGGCGGCCACCTCTGGCCGCCGGTCGGCCGCGCATGATTCCTCGCATGGTAGAATGTACGTTGAAAAGTTAGCCCGTCTCTCAGCCGCGTACGCCGCCAAACTTGAGTTGTGTTCACGTCAAAGTTACGAGTAACACAACTTAAGTTACGAGTAACACAACTCTAGTTACTAGTAACACAACTCAAGTTACTAGTAACGCAACTCAAGTTACGAGTTCACGTCAACTCACAAAGTTAAGTCGTTCGCTTGGATTGTTTTTTTTTTTTTGTATATTGTTTTGTATTTTTCAATACTTCAGAGATACTTCAGATATACTTCCATCATCGTGCATAAAATGCTTAGCTTAAATCGGGATACACTTCTTCAATAATTTATCCAAAGCTACATCAAATAAACGTTTCTTCCATAAGTTTATCCAAAGTTTACAGCAAATAAATAATTCTTCAATAAGCTTATCCGAAGCATACATCAAATAAACGTTTCTTCAATAAGTTTATCGAAAGAATTTATCCAATAAACTATTCTTCAATGAGTTTATCCAAAGCATACATCAAATAAATGTTTCTTTAATAAGTTTATCCAAAGTTGACGCTAAGTTGAGCGTAAAGTTGGCGCTGGTGTAGGCACAAGAGACGACGCTAAAAGTTCAACTAAGTCCCTCAAACTTGTTCAGTCTGGCTTGGGTGTCATCAGCCTCATGTCTATGTTGACTTATGTCCATGTTGACTTTTGTCTATGTTGACTTAGGTTTACGTTGACTTATGTCTATATTGTCTCATGTCTGTATTAAGGCGTTTAGTTATACAAAATAGTAAATACTCTTCTAGGTAAAATGCTGTGCAACAATATAAGAAAATGTTCACATTTCGTATTCAATTTTGAATTTTACCAAATTCATGTTGATAAACTTGCTTGTTAAACTTGCTTTAGACGAGTATTCACACTTTATGAGCATTCCTATTAAAATTTATAATTATTCTTATCAAAATTAGTTTCATGAGTAATCTTATTAAATTTGATAAATATTCTTAACAAAGCTAATGAAATGAGTATTCAACTTAATGACCGCGTTAAGAGACATGAATGATGGCACTAATTAGACTGTCTTGCTTTGAGGGCATTTTTTATACATTACTTGTTCTCTTTTGTTCTTGACGAAGGTAACGATATTAATCTTAATATTGAACATTTTAATATTAATACAATAATGATATTGTCGAGATAACCATTGCTGCTGCTGCTTCACACTTGCACTGTTTGCCGCTCGGATTCTCTTGCTTATTTAACATTAACGCTTCTTATTATTAGTGGTTACTTATTAATAACGCTTGTTCTCATTAATATTGCTGCGATATTGATGTCTCCTCTCATTAACATCGCTACGATATTAATGTCTCTTCTCATTAACATCTATGTGATATTAATGTCTCTTCTCATTAATGTCGCTGCGATATTAATGTCTCTTCTCATTAATGTCGCTGCGATATTCTCGTCTCTTCTCATTAATATCGTCGCAATATTAAAATCACTTCTCGTTAACATCGCTGCGATATTAATGTCTCTTCTCATTAACATCTATGCGATATGTACGCCTCATTAACGTGATCTTGATGCCACTAAGGCCACTAATCTCATTGCTGTGTGATGTTATTTACATGCGTTGTGCGTGCAAGTTTGCAAGGTTTTTAACTAATTCCGCCTGTCCGACTGATTATCATTGTTATCTTTTTTTGCTTGCCGTCCGACTGATTATCATTGTTATCTTCTCTTGCTTAACGTGTTTATTCGTTCCTCCACGCACCTCCCATGCTTTAGTTTCATCGTGTTTCTATGGTAAATTGTCGTGTGGGGTACAATATGTCGACCCGAGTTGTCGTGTGGGGTACAATATGTCGGCTGGAGTTGTCGTGTGGGGTACAATATGTCGGCCGGAGATGTCGTGTGGGGGACAATATGTCGGCTGGAGTTGTCGTGTGGGGTACAATATGTCGGCCGGAGTTGTCGTGTGGGGTACAGTATGTCGGCCGGAGTTGTCGTGTGGGGTACAATATGTCGGCCCGATTTGCCGTGTGGGGTAAAATCCTTAAACAAAATTTGGGGATCGCCTGGACTTCGACCGAATAGTCACTCCACTCGGCACAAAGTTATTCTGCTTGGCCATCCGATCGAAATCAGTTTCTGGTCAGAATCTCCTATATATCCGACTTCATAGTCGCCTGAGAGTATGACATGGGTTGGTCGAGCCGAGTCATGCCGAGCTAGCAAGCTGCCCAGAGGCTGCCCTTCGAACACTGAGCCGAAGCGGGCATAGAGATAAGCTGATTTTCGTCCGGTCCTAGTCCTGGGCGGCCCTAATGCAGGGTCTCGCACGCCTCTAAATTTTGTTAGGGATATGTCGGCCGGGGCTCTCTCCTATCATCAGTGCCCCTCACATCATTCCCCAGCTCCCCCCCTCCCGATATCATCTCTGTTACTAACATCCTTCGCAATACGACCAATAGTGTCATCATTTACCTCTATATCGTGGACTGCATCGTGGTTATCGAGCAATATCAGCTATTTATTATGATATATGCGGTTATAATCGTGTTGTATTCGATAATAATCTGTTGAAGGAAGGAGATAGCTCTTTCACCCTGTAGCTTCTACCCCGTCTACGCTGTGTAGTTTCTGCCCTGTCTACATGGTGTAGCTTCTACCCCATCTGCGCAGTGCAGTTTCTACCCCATCTGCGTGGTGTAACTTCTATTACGTCTGCGTCGTGTAGCTTCTACCCCGTCTGCGCTTTGCTCAGTCTGCGGGGATCGTCTAGGTTTCTGCCGAATATCTCACTAGACTCAGCGCAAAGTTAATTTGGGCCTGCTTGGCCACTTGATCGAAATTTATTTCTGGTCAGAATTTCTTTTCCGACTTTATGGTCGCCTGAGAGTAGGAGAAGGGTTGGCCGAGTCGAGTCATAACGAGCTCGCAAGCTGCCTAGAGGCTGCCCTTGAAACCCTGAGCCGAAGCTGACATGACCCGCTGATTTACGTGCTCCCCGAGTCCTGGGCAGCACATATTTAAGAGTCGAGCCCGCATCTGAATTTTGTTAGGGATGAGGCGGAGGATCCACAAACCCACACAGCTAAATGGCAGCTCATCGTCCAATTGCTCCAATCCTTCCAGTGTTATCTTTTTGTTTTCTTCATCGTTGAAAATAGTGCGTTTTCTCGATTTCTCATCCTTTCTCGTTCTTCTTTAGAAGCTACTACATATACTCTCGTTGTATTGTGTGGGGTACAATATTGGTGGTTGACGAATTCAAACTTCGTTGAACAATTGTTTGTTGTGAGAAAAAAAGGCCGTGGTGGTTCTTTGCTTCTGAAGCAATTAATGAAAAGTTCAACATTGCGTCCCAGTCACTAACGGGTAACTTTCAATTGCGTTTTCCCCGTCACTTTATTTCCTGAACCTTCCTTCGTTGCACATTCTTATCGCGAGTGTCTTGATCTTTTTACAATATTATTTTCTATGGAATTTATGATCCTATATAGTGTATATACAACCCAAACATATAATTTGTAATATCATGGTTCCTCTCCAAGATTGTTTGCGTAAGTTTCGATGTAAGTATTTTTAAGAAAAGTTACCCTAAAAGATAGAAATTTTTCCCAGTGGCAGGGAAAATAGCCGTTACAATTAAAATAGTCAACGTTCGTACACTAGAAAAGCGTTTTCATATTTTTTATACTTCTTCTTTTGTATTGATGGTGCTAAGATTTTTTGATAAACTTGTGTCTGAATGAATTAGATGAGTCATCGCTCACTCGATACCGGCCAAATTACGTAAAACTTGAACAATTTTTCTGACGCCACCTATTAAGAATTTTGTGAGTTTAAAGTTTTTAAGTTTAATCGAAGTAAATTTTCTATATACGAGTTATAACGAGTATCTCTTATAAAATGTCGGCTACAACATGTACAGCTTGCTCCTAATTCTCTACTTATCCCTTTTTGTTTCTGG